TCTTTCACTATTAGTTCTAGGCAAAGTCAGGATTATTTTCTATGTAATAACATATTAAAAAAAATTGCTATATCAAAGCGACGTTTAAGAAACTATCGAAAGAGATCACGTACAAACGATATTTTTATATCTAACTATGGGAAAAGAAAATTTGTTCCGTGTCACAATAAAAAGATCGTAACTGAAAATTGTTAGAACTCTCCAGGGACGAGTTGAGAATTTCTGGGGCCTGAGAACCTTTTGCAGGTGTTATGAGTTATAGTATTATTGCACCAAGTACATTGCGCGTGAACTATTATATGGAATAGTTTGAAATAGCGAAGCGACAATGGGGACAGGATGTGGATGTTTATAGTTTTCTGTAATTTTACCATTTTTACAAAAAGAAAATTCTGTATTAAAAATTCACCATCTCTAAGATTGTTAAATCAACATCATTTCTAGTTACTCTGTAATTATAAAAGAAGTAGCAATATAACATTTAAAATTATAGTTAAAAGTGAAATTAACTAAATCAATATACCTTTTTATGTATTAGTTATATTTTCAAATTACGCTTAAAAAGCTGAACAGATTTTGATTAATTTGACGAAAATATAGATTGCATAATGAGAACGGACATACGCTATTATCCTCGCCGCTTATCATACTAGTGCATTCAGTAACTAATAAATAATATATATAATAAACATTTTAAACCAAATTGAATTACTCATCGTCGTCTCAGTGCTTAATTGTCCAAACTACCAATTTACCGAAAGAGTTTTGTACAGAAATATTTACTTCTAAATGTCATTTCTATTATTATAAAGTACACAATTTACTTAAAAAATATCTAGAAATGTATTTTATTTATACATGTTTATAAATCATAGAAATAAAGCTTTGTTTCAAACTACAGGCAAAACTGTGAAATACAACAAGTATTGATGGTTCGAACAAACAAACACCAAAATGAGGAAATAGCAATAAAAACATTGAGAATTAATTTCAGTAATTGATATAGTATGTAACTATAGTTAACATAGCTGACCAAATGTACCCATATGCAGCGTACTGGGGATAAAGGCAAGAGATTAATGACCGAGAGAGATCTGCACCTGAGACTGCAGAACTACTGTGTTCTAATTTTTTACTTAAATAACATATTTACTTGTTAAATTTATATGGTTCATGGGTAAAATTAAATTAAAATGTGAATAAAAATTAAAATGTAATATTAAAAATGGCGTTATATTAAGTATTATAACATTATTGATTATTATTCTATTTTAAATTGTGAAATGCCTTTATTTATTAATGCCTTTTAAAGACTAAGAGTCTGTAGAAGTTTTGCTTAAGAGTTTTTTTTTTTTTTATAATGAATATCATTATAATGAAAAAAATATCGGTCTTCTGTACATACTCGTACATAACTAACGACTTATCCTCATTCCGCTCGGGTGCATCCATAGGTTATAAATACACATACAAACATTCGCATTTATAATAATTATAAAAGCTTATAAAATCTAATATAAGCTACATAAAAGCTTTAATAAAAACATCAAGAACTATTAATATCATTTATTCAACATAATTCATCACCAAACAAACAGAATAGCATCCATCTAATGCACTGGGATAAGAACTAGATTGATGACGTAGCGCGATGTGCACCTGAGGCTAACCGGTCCTGAACGTAAATGCAAGCGTTTTAGTGTTTTGTTTTCGTTTTGGATATTTTTAACAATGTTTTCTCTTCTACGATATATTTTTGCTCTTGGTTCGTTGAATGAAATAATATTTCAAAGCTTTGGTAGTTATTTATTCAAGTTTTACCGTGACATTGGTTTAGAGAGCTTATTTTACGTATTTAAAGAATTTTGATATTTTTAATTTTCATACTAAATCATCGTTCTTTTCATACAAAAATGTAATATTTAATGTTCGTATTATAATTAGTATTAGAAGTGGCAATAATTATGTCCTGCCTAGTAGGACCTCCCACAAGGTAAACCGACGACTTAGTGAAAGTCACTGGAAAACATAAGACCGGTTGTCGTGGAACTCTATAGGAAAGGTTAGTCTATTTTCAACCGACTTCAAAAAGGAGGAGGTTCTCAATTCGACTGTATGTTTTTTTTTTTTTTTTATGTTTGTTACCTCAGAACTCCGTCATTTATTAACCGATTTGGACAATTTTGCTACTACTGTCTACACTAAAAAGGAAAAAATAAAAACTTTTTAACAAAAAAATAAAAACCGACTTCAAACAAAAGCACTAAAAAGTAACAAATAACTGATTGGTAGTTTCATTTACTATACATACCTAATCAAATATTTTCGAAGTCGGTTCGAATATGTATAGTAAATGAAAACTACCAATCAGTTATTTGTTACTTTTTAGTGCTTTTGTTTGAAGTCGGTTTTAATTTTTTTGTTAAAAAGTTTTTATTCGGCTGATTATGATAATGTTGATGAATATTAATATGTTTATCTCTTTATTCATAGTGATTTAAATGACAGTGCCTTTAAGCTTAGCATGCACATAATTTATAATAGGTACATATAATAACATTCTAAATAAGCCGAATCTACATTAAATATTTTATGGAAAATCTTATTGAAATAAACATTATTATCGACACAGAGGCCGAACTTATAGTTTTTAGGATTTTTGTCTGTCTGTCTGTCTGTCTGTCTGTCTGTCTGTCTGTTACCGCATCACAGAAAAACCACTGGAGGGATTTTGATGAAAATACTTTTTACCGCAAGAAAATGACTTATTTTTGAGAAAATATACAAAAACTGCAATGTAAGAGTATACTAATATGTAAAACCTAAGAATTTGGTTTTTGGTCAGCTGAACGCGGGCGGAGCCGCTTGCAATGCTAGTTAACTATAACACCAATCGCCGATAGCAAGTCATAAAGCTAACAGTTGCAAATAGATTCTACAATTTTTAGTGTTATTACTAGGAAGTAGTGGAAAAACAGTATAAAATAAATATCCGCAATAAAGCATCCTAGTTGAAATATTTTACACACTCAAACCGTGCCGGTCATTCGCAAGCACAATCGATCAAAAATAACGAGCTTCCAACAAAAACTCGTTAGTGTAAGTCTAGACCAGGGGACTCAAAACTACGGCTCGCAAATCCGACCCAAGTGCAGCATGAATTTGGCTCGCTAGTATGGCTAGTTTTATTTTTCATCTTCAGACTTAAGCGTATTTCGATATGTGCTGTAAATTATTTTGGGATTGTCTTCTTAGGTCATAATTTTAACAAACAAAAAGTATTTGGGTATTATTTTTAATATATATTAAACTAGTATTAAACTGGTTAATTTACTCGTAGCTTTGAATTGAATGGAGATTTTTTAAGGAAATTAAAGTAATTATTCAACTCTATGCAGTTTTTTTAATTACACTTTATAAGAAAAGTGTTAAATATATCATATATTTGCCTTTAAACCCTATCTTAAAAAAATAAGGTCATCACAAATTTATTATGTACCTTAGTTTTTTTATGTTGGCACAATTCTTATGCTATTTGAAACTTACTTTTAAAATGAGATATCTATCCTGATATATATCTCACTTTTTTTGTAATCGTAACATAATTAAGTCAATTTTGAAAACTTCAAAACAATACTAATTACTATTCAAATTAAACCTGAATGAATCTGAGTGCTACTATTGGCTTTTATAAATTGCATGACGCTTAAAGTGAAGCTGTCACATATACCCAATTTGAAAACGTCAAAAGTTGGCAGTTCGGCAGTGTAACACTCAATTCGGGCCCCAATTGCAAACCCCTAGTCTAGACGATCGTTAATCCAAGAACAGGTTCGTCTCATTCACTCTTATCCAAGACGCAGGTGGTAACCCCCTCGAACCCCACGATAACACACTGTCACGACCTGATGAATTGCTTATTAGCTCGCACATTTTTAATAGAAATAAGTAACTGGTGTCTATTACTTGCACTTTATATGTACGTAAAATGAAGAATGAAATTTTGTAAATTAGTAAGAAAGTCTGTTTTGCCCGCGGTTCTGCTCCCAAAGTAAGCGGAGCTAAAATAAATGATAGGCCGTCACCATGATGCGTTCTGGAATATTCTTTAAATTTTTTATCGAAATCTGTTTAGGTTTAAATTTGAAATGATAACAAACAGACAAACAGTATTACGTTCACATTTATGTTATTATTATAATAACTTCATGTAGAGGGGAAGAAATAAATCAATTTATACTATATATTATAAAGAAATAAAGTTTGTGAGTTTGTGACGTTGTAGGGGGTAATCTCTGGATCTACTGAACCGATTTAGATGAAATTTGTTAAAAAGATAGTTTGAGATCTTAGGAAGGACATGGATACGTTTTACCCCGAAAATAACCCCTTAAAGAGGTGAAAATGGGGATAAAAGTTTGTATGGAGAATCAAGCTAGGGACGAACCCGAGCCAAGTGAGGGTGAGTCGCTAGTAGTGAATATATATGGTTTTAGAACATGAAAGTATAGTCAGGGTCAATTCCATTTTTTTTTCTTGAATCCAATATTTTTATCTCGCGAATTTATAGACGCTTATCCTATTAGGCTGTTATTTTTTCACTTTACTCCTGCAAGGGGAGTAAGTCTCAATAACTGTCAATTGGCTAAGTGTTATTTATTAAGGATTAACATTTTAAAATTACTGCTTTAGTGTGTACGAAATCTCCTCATTAATTGATCATATCTAGTTTGTACTAAATTGAATGAAACGAAAATTATTTAACTTTTTGATTTGATTAAGTTTTTGAGTTATTAGGTTTCGAAACACATGTGAAGTACGCCAGCACACACTTGGCAAGCGTGGTGGACTATGGCCTGATCCTCCTCGTATTATATAGTATATGTATTTAATAAATATATACCATATATAATAATTAAAATAATAACTAGATGTTAAGTTATTCGTTTTTTGTTTCAGATGCCAACACAAGATGATTCGACAATTTGACTACTACACAAATGCAGTCACATATTAAGATCAAACAAAAACACCAACCAACTATGATTGGGAAACCTGAAAAGGTTTCAGAGCCTTTAGAAAAGGTGGTGAAGAACAAGAGAAATAGTCTTCTAGACCTTAAATCTCTTCTAGAAGACAGAGGGGGCATTATACAATCTAGTACGCACGGCTTTAAAAGAAGTGTCTTCGAGAAAGATAAAAAATCTAGCAATAATAGTGTGAACTACTTAAATAATAATTTTAGTTTTGAAACAACTTTTAGTGAAAGCAATAATATGAGGTGTAGGGTTAAAGGACGGTGCTGTAGACTTAAAACTTTAGTGTGTTTGTTATTAGTGGCCATCTTCGTGGATACAAGACTGCAAGCTGAGGCGAGAAGTTCAGGTGAGTGTTTTTAGTTTTGTTCAACCAATAAAACTTTTCCAGTGAATGTATTACGTAACTAGCGACAGCCCTCGGTTCGCTCCTTGGGCACGTTTTAATTTTTTTAAGCAGGACCCTAATTCTGTTTCTAAAATAAAAATAGGTCAAGTTACTCCTTATACATCCTTTAACACCAGCTATCTGCCAGTGAAAGTCGAAATCATTCAAGACGTTCTGGAGATTAGCCAGAACACAGACAAAAATTTAAAAACTTGTGATTTTATTTATCGTATATAATTTTATATGCATTTAGTAAAAAGCTGTTATTTTGACACTTTAATTTTATTTATCTGTATACATTTAGAAAAGAGAGATTCGTAAAACAGCGAAAACAATTAAATTTTTGGTAACCTCTCTTTCTGAAGCTAATTTTGCAAAAGTTAGCTATTTGACATAACTAAATGATAAACTAAATTCATGGTCGGTTTTGCAGTTATTTGCTAACTTTCAAATATATTTTAGTGTCATTTATAACAGCTGTAGTATATCTGCAATCATCTATTGCTATAAGAAATGCTCTTTCCTATTAGAAAAAGTCAACATATATCAAGATTAAGTTTCATGTCATAAAATTCTCGTCTCATTTTGGATAGTAAAGTTATTGTTGACTTTGGTTAATATAGATTTTATTAGCACACGACACGTTTGGATCAGTTTGTAGTGACGCTACTTGCTGTGCCAGCGGTCGCGGCTTAGGGTCCTGCTGGGGGATTCATCTTAACTTAGTCATGCTAAGTACATGATGCTGTGTGTCAATATCCCAATATATTAATATTTATTTATTAGCAGTATTATCCTCATATTTTGGAAATTTGGATTTGTGAGTAATAAACAGTTTTTTGTTACTCATAAAAGCAAAATTTTCTAAAAAAACCTATTTGCCTCATGAGTAACGAATTGTAAACAAATGCGGTTTCATTATTAAGCTTACTGTTTTTATGACTAATATTCATGCATACTTCGAGATTAGTATGTTACCTATACACGTATGTACAGTGTTAATTGATTATTCATTGATGGATTTCTTTATTCTTCAAACCAAAAGTTTTATTTCTAGGACTATATTTTTGTAACTAGTTGCGTTTTAACGCTTAGTATAAATTTCTCAGAGATAGATATTTTACTGCAGTAAAAAGTATCCTATATGTTGACCCGGATAAGCAGCTGTTATCATATCAAACTTCATCAAAATCTGTCCAGTGGTTTTCTCGTGATGTGTTCCCAGATAGATAGACCGACAGACAAAAGTTCTGAAAATTATAGATTCGGCCTCTGTATCGATAATAATGACTATTTCAATAAGATTTTCCAAAAAAAAAAATTGATGGACAGATTAGACTCAGTTAGAATTTTATTATATGTATCTATAGGTAGTATAGTAACAGTGTATTTTTAAAAGAGTAAAAATTATATGATGAGTTTTTACAATTTTCATATTTATCCATCGTGATGTTATTGTTATAATTTACTACTTTTGTGGATTTATTATCAGATATTTATGACTTTTGAAAGACTTTTTGTACTTAAACAAAAAAGAATTGAACACTTAACTGCCAATAAAAACATGTTACGATTATAAGCAAACGTTGCTTAATTACTTATACATATACTCGTAGAAGCTGTTTAAAAATTTAAAACCAATTATATTTTAAGTAGAAAATTGAAAACAATAATGAAAAATTCTAAGAGAGCAATAATTTAACACAAACGGTGGTAAGCATACATAAATCGCTACCAGTTCTCAACAAGTGCTTAAAACGCACTTAGGTTAACTCTCTAAGAAAATGTAATGGAGTACAACGATTTTTTGTACTTTTCGTTTTATGGTTCGTAATATATTGTCATATAAACAATCTTTATAGTTTCACACTGCCAGTGTAAAAGAACAACCTAGTTTTTGTTTGTCTGTCTGTTTCATTGTTCTTAAGCACTTGGTAATTTTAGAACTTTTGTATATAGTTGTTTACATACATACATATCTATATATTATATTTCTTATAGTGTAGCCATAGGCAACGAGAAAGCTACAAAGCGAAAGCTTTTTATCTTATGCTCATAACGTAAAAAGCTTTTTACACATCTCAGATTTTACTCAGATATTAAACTTAAAATACGATTTTAGAATATTTCTAGTATTTGTTCTTCATAGTTTCTTCGGTGTGTAATGAAATTGCTACTTTGTTTTCGTTTATTATAACAATTATTATCTAAGATATATGTGGAGGACTATGACAGTAGGCATAATTTGCGCAAAATGTTACATTTTCATATGTAATGTAAAATTTAAGTAATGGTATATATAGATAGATTAATGTAAATAACATAATATCAACATAAAATTTCATAAATGGACTTTACTATATTTTCAAAGTGCTTTTTATACTTCATATACGTATGTACAGATGTTCTTAACAAATTCGAGGCCTACCGCTAGTTTCATAAATAAGCGTATAATAACCGGTACTCAGACTGTATTTAGAGTTTATCAACAACGTTAAATTTGCAAATCTCTTCAAAGGCCTTCATTAGGCAAAATGCTATTCAGAGGCAGAATGTCTAAAAATAAATATCAAATGTCTTGTACCAGACAAGACGACATCCCAACACATTCGTATCTTGCTAATATACCTACTAAGAAGATATTATACAAAGTAAATGTACGAAAATGGTTATTTTGTGCCGACTTAAGAAGGTTTAATGCGCGTATTTTAGTATATAAGTAATATTTTAGTATTTGTTTCAACGTTGAAAGTCAGCCCAAGGGGTGGATTTTTATATGAAGTTTACTTGAATGAAGTTAATATATGTATACTAGCGGACCCGACAGACGTTGTCCTGTCTACACGTCTTTAATTTGAAAATTTCAAACTTTTTTTAATAATTTTTTTGATGAAAATTATTATTCAAATTGTGAATCTAAACCATTCCCAGATCCCCTTGAACACACACAAATAATTTCATCAAAATCGGTCCAGTCGTTTGAGAGAAGTTCAGTGACATACACACTCACAGAAGTGATGTTCTCCTAGCCGATTCCGGCCACGGCGGCCAATCTCAATGAGATTAGCCAACTACGCAGGAGATATTATAGTGCTCAAGTGTACGCGCAGACACAAGTGCACTCTCTATTCCTATCACTCTCATACTCCGGTGGGACGACCACTCGACACGACCGGTGAGAGTTAAGGCGCAGGACCGACGGCTTTACGTGCTCTCCGAGGCACGGGGGTGAAACACCGCCAACTTCCCAACTCCGGGCTGTTACTGAGACTTACTATACAGGAAGACTCAATAACTAAACTTGGCCCGACCCGGGACTCGAACCCAGGACCTCCGGGTGTGCAACCGTACATGCTAGCCACTACACCACCGAGGCAGTTAAAGGCCAGAGGCGCCTCACAGAAGTATTATATATATAAAGATATACATAGCTAATGAGGAGTAAAGTGGCAACAGCTATTTAATATTTTAAAATGCTAAGATTTTTTTGATATTATTATATATTTAAAATTGTCCTCCAGAAAGTGCGTCACAAATGACCTATTTTTTCTTTTCACCCTTATAGTCCAGGGGGACAGCTATCTGAATGACTAGTTACAGGACACAGATCAGGTGCAGGACCAGCATATTTAACTTTGCCTGCTTTCTGGGCTGTTTACTTTTAATATATTGACAGAATATTTCAATTTCACTGTTTTTGGCCTGACCTGGGAACGAACCCAAGAACCCCAGAACTTGCAGAGGTACATGCTAGCTAATAGACCAATAAGTTTATTGTATATTTTATATACAAACAATATAATGTTTCTCGTGTACCTAAGCTTGAGAGACATGCGTCTACGGATACGACGTAGAAGGCAAGTAAAACGAAGAAGACAGTAATATCTTAATTCACTACAAGGTCTCTAGGCAGCTTTAAGCTTAACAGTGAAAGGCATCTTAATTAACATGTTCTAGCAAAACATATATACACTCTTGTTTTGTACTAAATTTCGTGATTCACACTTCAATTTTAGCACTTTAATTTTCAAATGGATGCTATTTTTCACAGCTGAACTGGTTATTTTGAGAAATCGACTGCATTCGAAACGAATTTATTTCTATATTTAACTCGATAATGTATTCATAGAAGAGTTTAGTTTGAAAATAGAAATTGTATAACAATATTGATTTTATGACGACGAGACTTTAAAAATATTATTCATCTTTTGCTTCAAACAAAAACTGAACTCGTGTCTTCCGTCTGGAATTTCAATTCTACGAGTAAGTAATGAGTGAAATATAGTAAATCTATAGACAATTCATTTAACATATTCCTATGTATTTAATTTAAAGAATCAAAGGCTGATAATATTTTTTGATTATTATAATAAAATAAATAAATATGTTGGGCCATTAACACACAGCACCATTTAGTTCCATGGTAAGCTACGAGGGTTGTTTTATTGATACCAGACAGTTGATACACTACACATATATAACTTTAAAAACATACATATTATAAATAAAAACACCCATGACTGGAGTACAAACATTTGTGCTCATCGCATAAATGGATGCCCCCAGCGGGACTCGAACCCGCGACTACTGGCACAGCAAGTAGGGTCACTACAAACTGAGCCAACCATGTCTTCGAGATAATTTAAAAAATAATTTCTAAAATACAATCTTGCTAGTAATTATAACAATTTACTAAATAACAATACGCCAGTTATAAAATAACTAAAACTAAAATATGATAAGACCTGTCAAATACAAGGCAACTCGTAATGTACGTCACCTGTCAAGAAAACACCGCTAGCTCCTAACTTGGATGAAACTGTAGGCCGAGAAACTTGCTAGTTTAACTTTGTAACGAATCCGCCATTGTACTACGAATTTAATTTTTGTTTACTTTATATTGTATATTTTGTATAAATATATTGAAGTTAAACTTCTTTTGGCACGTTTGGAAAAAAATATGAGTAAAATT